AGATAACATTAATAATGTTAGCTGCCTCTCCCTTCATAGTTACACTTACTGACCATGAATTTATTAGGCCCTAAAAAAATATTTCTATTAGAACCGGGGGATGGGGTCCCACAAGATGAAACGCACCATAAGAGGGTGAGTTTAGATACAACTTAGTGAGGTTCCGTGACATATTAATGTAATGGTGCCTGAAAGTCGAGAGAACTTTCCGAAATTTCGATTTTAATCAGAGGTTTTTAGGCAGTTGTTAACTTTTTGGGGGAGTATTCATATAGTATCAGTCAAAAAATTTGAGCACATGCTGTATAATATTAATGGTGGATGCCTTTTTGGAAACACAATCTGTGCAGTTAGTTATGCTAAGAAAATTAACGCATCTTGGATTATTATAATAAAGTGGTAATTAAGATACATTTTCACTTTATTTATTTATTTATTTTTATTTTATTTTATTATTTTACATTTTATCCAAACGTGTGAAAAAATGATGCAGAGATCTGAAAACACCCGTGACCACCTTTAGACTTGGTAGGATCATAATGACACTTCATTTATTACTTAAAACTTGAGAGAACTGCATGCATTAATGACTATTACTTAGATCTGACCTTGAATTCATTACAATCCCAAAAGCATTTAATGTTAGCTACCTTTCCCATCATCTTCATCATCGTATATAAAAGCACTGACACTCCCGAATGTACACTTCACAACATCAAGAAAATAAAAAGTAACTAAAATCCTAGCTAGCAGCATATCACGATGAAGTCGATAATCCTAAGCCACACGCGTTCTTCTAGCATGCCTTCGAGACCTTATTACCCTCTAATCCCCGAATTCGAACTCCATTTGCAAAAAATAAAATCCGATAATTTCCCCACCTCGTCTTCTTCATCTCTGTCCTCAGTCGCCGAAAAAATGGACAATCTCGAACAAATACACGATTTTATCGACAACTTACTTCTACTCCCACATACCCACCAAATTTTCACCAGAGAAAGGCACGAAAAATGGGTCGAACAAATCTTGGACGGATATCTCGGCCTAGTGGACGCTTGTGCCACTGCTAAAGATTTCATCTCCCAGTCAAAAGATTACATTTCGAATCTCCTTTCGGTCCTCAGGCGAAAGCGAGGCTCGGAAGATCTTTCCGAGTTCATCTCCTCAAGAAAGACGATTAAGAAGCAAATAACAAAATCGTTGAGAAATATCGGTAGCTACAAAAAGGACTCCTCTGTTTTAAAAACAGGGGAGAAGGATCAAGAAACAAGTGCAATCATCGGCATGTTGAAGGAGGCTGAGTCGATAACTTTAGATTTGATCGAGGAACTTTTGTCGGGCATTTCTCGTTCGAAAGAAGGTTCGAAGCTAAGTAAATGGTCACTTTCGAAGATTATGGGATCGAGAAAAGTTTCTTGCCATGAGCACGAGCACAAGAGCTCGATGCTCGAGTTTGGAGATTTGGATGCTTCATTAAGTAAATTTGTTAGTAAATGCGAGACGGGCTTGAAAATCGAGGATTTGCAGCAACAGTTGAGGAAGATGGAGTTGGTTATTACAGTTATTGAGGAAAGATTGGAGTGTTTGTTCAAACTTTTGATTAAGTCGAGAGTTTCACTGCTTAACATGCAGAGCCAGTTGTACTAGTCAATGGCCGATGGTCAACGAAGATAGTTTATGTCACAGTAGATTTTTTTTTCCTTTTAGTCTCGGAAAAAAAGATTTTTGCAGTTTGGGTCTCATAAGAATTTATTTTTCCACTTTTGGTCCCTTCAGAAGTTGTATTTTCATTCTTTTGGGGTTGAAATGGGATTTAGTTCTTCTGGGAAATTTTTTGCTGCTCAAATTTCTTTTTTTTTTTTTTTTTGGTAGATTAAAGTTTTTGTAGATATGAATAGTGAATACGACAATTTGAAGTGTACTGCAAACAAATTAATGTAAAATATACTTTGTCCCGTTTTTTGTGATTCAATATTTTTTGCAAGTATAATTTTTTTTTAGATTAAGGAAGTCGTTGAGAAATATTCGTGTTTTGAAGAAAATTTGTTCAGTTTATCGACAGGGCAATGATGATAAAGAAACCATTGCCATCGTTCGAATGTTGAAGGAAGTCGAGCTGATGACAATCGATCTGATGGAAGTTTAGTCACATAAGCTAGAGATTTTTGCCATTTTTAATTTGTTTCATTGAGCTGTCACACTTTAGTGACAAATTCTGCCTTTTGTGTTAGTTTCTATATATCTGTCTGAAGTTGAGGTAATCAGCTAATTAAAATGTCATAATTTTAAAGGTTAATTGAGAGAATGAACACAATAATGGTGAATTGGTGATCAAGAGTTCTCATGCAGCAGAGTCATGTGAAGATAAAAATTTACCCGTCAGAGAAAAGTTTGAGTAATTGTGGTTCGTGTGAAAGATCTCGTGAGCTACACTTTTCAAAACAGTAACACGAAGACGTAAATTATTTGGATCTCATCGCAATCAAAACTCTCGTGTGAGACTATCTAACGGGTTTATCTTGTCGACAGGGGCGAATGTAGATGTATCAACTAATTTTCTGGTTTCGCCCCTGCTTGTCGAGTACCAGTCATACTTTTTAATAAATTGCATACTTATGCTAAGATGAAATCTCGTACTTTTGTCTAATCCAGGTAATAAAAAATCAGTATGTCTAACCGTTAGCTTCATTAACAGTACAACGGCTAGGAACTTTCCCAACTCACTAATATTAAGCTGTCATTACTCCAACTAATCAAGTGGAAAATCAAATTAAGTACAAATTGTTGCCTTTTGTGTTGGCATTAATGAAGCAGAAATTGAGGGGAACATGTTACAATTATGGTGACAAAAAGAAGTTATGCAGAGTCATATATATATACATAAAATTTGAGCACATGCTGTAGTCTTTGTAAGGATAACATATAGAAATAATTTTTGGTTTCATGTTCCATGTGATATATACTATATATAGTGTGTTCATATTACTTCAACAAAACATTTCTTCAATTCAAAGCAGTTTAGCTGTCTGAGTTTTCAAATGATTCGAATTCGACGACTGAAATATGTTGGAAATTAATTTTGTCAATGAAATTTGTAACACAAAAATTGAGACGATTATGTTTTTAGGACATTATATTCTCACAGGTCTCAATATTTTTTTTATATATATAAAATAGGCATTTTATTATTTTCATTTTTCTGTAAAAGTTCCCTACAAAATATTCATGTTCCTAGAAAATTATCGTCAACGCAAACTACTTCACTTCAATGTACGAAGTAGCTAAAAAAGACAAATTTTACTTTTTTTGACTTTATATTTATGGGAAATACTACGGTCTCGTTACGGAACCATTTCGTCGGGATTTTGTCCAAAAGTTGAGAGAACTTTTCGTAACAACGGTGTTAATCGGAAGTTATTAGGCAATGCCTGTAATAATGACAGTGCCTTTTTCGAAACACCATCTTAGCATGTGCAGTTACGCTAAGAAACACGCAATTCGGATTATAATAAACCATGTGAAAATTAATGAAACTTAGCTTAGTATGAAGATGAAGTCCGAACGTTTTGATCCAAAACGTGCGGAAAATGATGCAGAGATCTCAAACACATGCAGGTGACCACCTTTAGACGTGGTAGTATCATAAATACACTTCATTTATTACTCAAAAGTTGAGATAACATTAATAATACACTTAGATCTGACCATGAATTTATTACACCCGAAAAAATATTTTTGATTTTGTTTGGATTTGTTAGTTTGATACAGTTAATTTTGAAAAAAATTGCGTGTAATTGTTAGTGAGATTTTGATTTATATTAAAATAATATTTAAAATAAAAATAGTTAAAATTAATTTGATGTAAAAGTAGGAAGAATATAATGTAAAGTGATGGTTAGTTAAAATTATGTGAGTGGATGAATAGTGAATTAAAGTTGATTTAATGTATAAAAATGACTGATTGACATAATTCAATTAGATTTATAATATTGAGAATATTGTAATCGAGTTAAATTTGAGTTTAAAGTAGTGATTAGTTATAAATGATTGATATTTTTTTTTTTTTTGGATAAATATGTATTGAAGCATCCCAAAATATTCGAATTCCAATTAGTTCACTTAAATCTACCCACGCGCTCTTCGCACTACAAAAAACTCTTACATTCCAACGGAAAATTTTCGTTGGAATTTTTTATATTTCCTTTGGAATAGCTATTCCAACGGAGATTCCTACGTGTAAAAATCCGTTGGAAAAACGACCGTTGGAATAGCAAATATCCAACGGAAAATCCTATGGAAATAAATTCCTACAGCTATTCCAACGAAAAAAATCCGTTGGAATTCCTCAACTATCCAACACTTATTTCAACATAAAATTAAGTTTGTTTGGATATTCATTGGAATTTTCAACAGAAATTTTTGCTGTTGGAATTTTTCGTTGGAATTGTAGTGTTTTTTTGTAGTGTCGGTCGGGTTACACCGAATCTCGGCTCCCCCCTACTGGTGTGGGTGACTGGCTTCATGATCTTACTGGGGTATCCTACTCCCGTCGGGTTCTTGCATAATCGTTATTAAAACCTTTGGCCTTGTACCCAAAAAAAAAAAAAAATGTAGTAGCTAACAAAGACAAATTTTACCTTTTTTGTTTTGGTATTGATATGCCAGAAGTTGAGCCGTGACATATATTAATAATGGTGTCCGAAAGTTGAGAGAACTTTCGAAATAACGATGTTAATAGGAGGTTATTAGGCAGTTATTAACTTCTTTTTTTTTTTTTTTTTTTTTTTT